CACTTTGCACGTAACCAAGCGGTCCGCACGTAACCAAGCGGTCCACACTTAACCAAGGGGTCTGCATGTAACCAAGCGGTCTGCATGTAACCAAGTGGTTCACATGTAACTAATGGGCTTGCAGAAGCAAGGCTCTTCCGTAACCCTGCAGTGTTTTGTGATAGCTGCTTTATGTGACCTCGCCTAGAGTGATAAGGTCTTGGTGTTAGCCATCCTTGGTGCACGTGTAAATGCATGTGTTGGCCCCAATCAGAAGAAACATAACAAAACAAAAAGCTAAAGAAACAGATGGTTAAAACAAGAAAGTAAAGTGAACCAAAAAAAGATAGATTCTTCTATCTTTTTTATCTGGGCCAGGTTCATGTGCTCGGTCGGTTTTGTCGTGCTTGCTTTTGCCATCCTTCATGCGGATAGTAATACATGTTTTTGCCCCAATTCCACGTATCATGGCCTCTTCCAGGCACTCGATCCAGCTCTGTACTCGGGCCCGGTTTGATGGTGTGTTCCACTGTGGTGGTATTTGGGCCCAGTCCCATGTGATCTACCTACGCTAGAAAGTGGTGTGCAAGGTCCTGGATCACTTGTTCATAATCGAGACTTTGTTAACCTTGGCCTTTCTGCCTCTCTGGGGTTGTCATTTCGCAAGGACCGAGTAGTGGAGAGAGAGAGTGTGCAAGACTGAAGGCTGCAAGCAGGGAAATCTTCTGTATTGCAAAAATGTGAAATGAAAAGTTCCTTTAACAGACCTGACTCTTTCAGCTCCACCCGTACCATATTGGAGCTTAAAATTGAGAACCGGCAGTGGAGATTTTAAACCGCTACTTTTGACCCTTCCCTTGCCGAGCCTCGAAACGTACTGCGCGCCGAGAACGAAATAATCGGCAGGACCCTTCTTTCGGCTGGCGCGGCCAGCCATTTTGCTCTGGTAGTCCGGTCGCCCCCCCCCCCCCCCCCCCCCCCCCCCCCCCCCCCCCCTGAAACTTGCGGTCCCATGCATGCCGCGGCGGAGAAGAATGGCTGGGAAATGAACTGGCGGTTTGAGCTATCCTGCCTTTAGAAATTCGCATACCTGTCATCGCTTTTGGTCCCATGTAGTCCTGCCTTGTCCGTTCGATCTCTTGCATGGGCTATTCTGTCTGTGGCGGTTTGAGCTATCCTGCCTTCAGAAATTCGCATACCTGTCATCGCTTTTGGTGTCATGCAGTCCTGGCTTGTCCGATTGATCTCTTGCATGGCCTATTCTGTCTGTGGTGGTTTGAGCTATCCTGCCTTTAGAAGTTCGCATACCTGTCATCGCTTTTGGTGCCATGCAGTCCTGGCTTGTCCGTTCGATCTCTTGCATGGGCTATTTTGTCTGTGTTGTGTTGCACAGACATTAGAGTTTAGAGTTTAGACGATTCTCTGCTTTGGACTCAACCACGCTTATGCAAATGACTGGAAGCGGTGACCAGGGAGGTACATGGCTTTCATGGCTTGTGTGCACGTTGAGGGAATGGGGCAAATGATTTCAAGGGAATGCCAGGGAACTGATTCTGTGTTTACTCATACTGTTAAGGATTCACTACGGTCTTCACCCGAATAGAACGCCTGGTCTTTATGCCTGTATTTTGGGGGCAACTTTCAGTCTAGATCCAGAGATAATTACGGGGTGTTCTATTCGGGTGAAGACGGTAGGCGAGCAAGGGTAGAAAAACATTATCAGATCAATGTCGAAGCGTCGTCTGCAGAGCACCAATTTCTGATCTGGTAGCTGAGTGAGTCCATGGTCCGGTGGGCAATTGGCCTCAAGGTCCTGATTGATGAATGACTGCGTTGTGAGGCTGGTTGGAACTGCTTTATCTGGAAAGCTTCGCTTGGTAACCAGGTACTTATATTTACCGTAGTAAACTCAGCACTAATATTGGGAAGTACCAGTTACTGTGATTACAATAATGTTATTCATGTGGCTACCTAATTTTGTGTGGGCTCTTGGTACTTTTTTGGGTTTCCAGCTGTCTATCCGCCAGTGGAAGAGATGCTGCAAATGTGTGGAAAGTTGGCACTTCTTGATCGCTTATTAGTGCGCTTGAAGGAGGCTAAGCACAAGGTCAGTGTGCATGTGTGCGTCGACATGCGCACCTTTTTCGTTCATTACGTTTTCATTCGCACATCGTCTAATCAACGTACATGCTTGTCCATGGCTCTGTGTCTCTCTGTGTGTGATTGACAAGACTGTATATATTATCCTCCAGACCATGTTGCGTCCATGGATTAATATATAGCGGAAGCGATTCGATCCATGCTACTTCACCATGAACAAAGAAATACCAGGTGGTGGCAAAGCGAACAATTTCAAAGCGGGATCGCTTGATTTTTGCATAGCCTTTATAGGCCTAACCACATTTAAATAAAGCTGAAAGCTGAAGAAAGAAGTCAGGAATGGGAAAGGAAAGAAAAAGAAAAGGTGAAAGTCTTGTTGTAGAATTAACATAAGCTTATGAAGGCTCAAAGAGACTGAGAAGTGCCGAAGGTGCTGTTGATTGTTTTTTGGGTGCAATTTTGACATGGTTTCCACGCCTAGTTGTGAAGGTCAACTGTTAATTCTTCCCTGAAACAACGAAGACTTGTGGAAAATGGAATATACAGAAGAACAAATACGACGACAACATAACCAACGAGAGTACAGAGAGGAAGAAAGACACACAAGGGAGAGGGAAAAGGCTCACACAAGGGATAAGAAAAATGCACAATGACAGAAGAAAGAGGGGCATGCGTTCCC